AGGGGATTAGCGTGCCAACTGTAAATATGTTTAAGTATTTTTTTGTTTTAAAGGGGGGTAGTAGGAGAGATAAGGGGTGGTATTATTTCACCCCGAGGGTAGCTAGTAAGGAGAGTAGGTCGTTGTTTACGGCGAGTCCTTCATCTATTAAAGGATGGAAGGAGAAATTCTTTTTTGTAGATGATACGGAGTGGGGGAAAGGGGATGCCGAGGTGAGGGAGTTAGCCTCCTGGAAGGCCAAAAGGGCCAACCAGAATAGGTTTAGCTTAAATGAGGATGAGGAGGAAGAAGTGGGGAGGTTGGTGAGGAAGGAGGGGGATTTATTAAACATTTTGGACCTCACCAGCGCACAATGCATAGAAGCTGCCGAGCTCTATGGGCCAAGCGCTTTGAGTGAAGGTTGGTTTAGTTCTGCATTGTAGTACTAAATGTAGAGTAATGTAGAGTATAGAACTGTGATTAATATTGTGTATTCTTGCTTTGCAGCTGAAATGGACTAGTTCTTGAACACTGCTGGAGGAGCGGCCATCCCCAAGAAGCCAAGGAAGAAGTCAAAGACTTCCACCAAGCAAGTGGATGAAGGGAGGGCGAAGAAAGAGATAGTGCCCACGGCTTCAGCTGAGGCAGAAGAGGAGGTGCCACAGTTGAAGAGGAAGGGGTGGGAGGAGAGGAGGGCACTGCAAAAGAAGCAGAGGGTGGTGGAGGAGGAGACAGGGAATGAGGTCCCTGTGTTCGTACCTCAGCCTTAGCCTTCTCCTGTTGAGCTGGACCCTGAGCTTAGACAGTTGGAGGAGGGGGCTGAGGTACGAGCTCCTGGTAAGGGAAAGGGCCCTGTTCCCTCACTGGGGCCTCAGAGTAGCCTGTTCGAGGCGAAGAACATAACGGGGGCTAGGTGGTTCATCAACAACACCTTCCCCGAAGTGGACCAATGCAACGCGCGGGAGGAAGCTCTGAGGTATGGTGGAGCGTCCGTGGTGAAGCACATTCTAGAGGTATGTTAAAGTATTGGTGTTGTGCAATGAACCTGTTTCGCCTTCTCTTCGTTCTTTTTTAACTTCAGTTTTGATCTGCAGAGCGCGAGCTGGGTGAATGGTCTAGCCCAGGAATTCAGGGAGAGCCTGAAGGATCGCGCACTCTTGCAGAGGCAACGGGACCAACTGCAGAAGGAGAAGGAGGAGTTGGAGAAGAAGAATAAGGAACTGCAAGAGTCTCTGAACAAGGTGGTTCCAACTGTTTCACAGTTGGAGCAAGAGAGGGCTTCCCTAAGCACCAAGCTCGCTTTTGAGGAGAGCAAACGAAGGATCGCTGAAAGTGAGCGTGAGGCTCAGGCGCAAGAAATGAAGCTGATGACAAAGGCATTCAAGGAGCTGAAGGGGAATATGTGGAAGTTGGTGCATAATGGGATGAAGGAGCACATCAGCAACTTCATCAGTTCCAACTCGTTTGATAGCATCGTCAACTTGTACCGGCTACCCATTGCCATCATTGCTTTCACAGACTGCAGAAAGAAGGTGAAGGCTGAATATCCCAAAATGGATGTGACAAAGATCACCTTCGGCGAGCAAGAAGGAGGAGTGGAGGAGGATGGCGAGAGCATGTCAGCAGACTTCCGCCCTCAAATTAAGCTGAGGTGGGAGGATGATGCAGACGGTCTTGCTGTTTTTCCTCCACAGTTCGACTTCGAGTTCGTTGCAGTGGAGGAAGAAGGGGCAGAGGTAGAGGAGGACGAGATGGGGGCAGGAGTGGAGGGAACTGAAGTGGGTGAGATCCAACCAGTTCCAGAAGTGGAGATTCATCCAGTTCCCTCAGACGATGAGCAGCCTCCTCTGCCGGACGAGCAGCAGCCAACACAGCCACCTCCTCTAGCTAAGCAGGAACCAGTGGAGCCACCTCTCTCAGCAGAGAAATAATTTTGTTTTTTGATTTTTGATTTTTTGTAAAGACATTTAAACAATTTGTAATACTTATATTATTCTTAATGAAAGTTCATTTTTGAAATAATGTGTTTATTTGTGTTTGTCTGTTTATTATTATATATTGATAGAAGAACTGAGACTACCTTTAAAAAAGGATAGTTAATAAAAAGAAATTAATCACTTCAGAAACGAACTCCAGAGAAGTAAACCACTTCAAGTGAATTAACAACAAGTATATCACTGTAAATGAATTGAGGGAAGATAAAGCACTTCAAATGTCAAGTGACATTTATTAACAGAAATGAGGTTCAAGGAATGAATGAACTGATTGACCTCAGATACATAGAATAAGAGGTAAAATGAATCTCAACTAACATGAAGTGAGAAGCGTAGAGAACAGCAAGACATAGATCTCTTGAAAGAATTTTATTAGGGGTAAAATTTCTTCAAGTTATTGACATTCCAGACTCTAGGAACTCTGTTTCCCTCAGCGTCTTGGAGGACATAGGCGCCAAGATGTGGCACTTCGGCCACGGCATAAGGGCCTTCCCAATTTGGGGCAAGTTTGCCAAAACGAGTTTCAAACCCCGTTAGGCCAGCTTTTCTGAGAACCAGGTCTCCTACTTTGAATGTTCAAGGGCGGACCCGTTTATTGTAGAAGTTGGCTAGTTTCTGCTTGTATACAAGAGTTCGAAGCCGAGCTTCTTCTCTGACTTCAACAAGCAGATCAAGGTTTTCCTGAAGCAGTTGTCCATTTCGTCCTTCATCGAAATGGGTAACCCGGAGGCTTGGGACTCCTATTTCAACAGGAATGACTGCTTCGGTACCAAAGGCCAAGTGGTAGAGTGTTTCACCTATTTCAGTTGATTATAACTTTAGAATGTGCTTTATGCATTATGCATATTTGCTCTAAGGTAAAGCATAACAGAAGAAGTAAAATAATATAGAAATTAATCAAATAAAATCGGTTTAAAATAGTACCTGTGGCAGTTCGGCTCGTGGTTCTGTATGCCCAGAGGACGTTGTTGAGCTCTTCTGCCCACTTGGCCTTATGCTGTTCCAATCTCGGCTTTATACCTTCTAAAATGCATTTGTTAACGGATTCAACCATGCCATTGGACTCTGGATGCTAAACGGAGGTGAACTGTAACTTGATCCCATAACTGGAACAGAAATCTCGGAATAAAGAGCAATTGAATTGGGTTCCATTATCGGCTACAATCTGATTCGGGATCCCATATCTACAGATGATCGAGCTGAAAACAAAGTCTTCGACCTTCTTAGAGGTAAGACTAGATAAAGGCCGAGCTTCTACCCACTTTGAGAAATAATCCACACCAACAACGAGATGAGTTACACCACCAACCCCCTTCATGAATGGGCCTAAAAGATCCAATCCCCACTGAGAAAATGGCCACGGTGCTACCATGTTCGTGAGTTCTTCTGCTGGTTGGTGAGTTAAATGTGCGAAGAATTGACATTTCGGGCATTTCTTAACAAAGTAAGTGGCATCTTTATGCATGTTTGGCCAGTAGTATCCTTGCCTTAAGACTTTGTGAGCCAGAGTCCTAGCACCGACATGGCTCCCACAGACACCTTCATGCACCTCTCGAAGTGCATATTCAGCTTCATAGGGGTTTAAACACTGTAGAAGAGGAAGTGAGAAAGATCTCTTATACAGGACCCCATCAACGAGGGTATACCGAGATGCTTTCTTTCTCAACTTCATTGCCTCCTGCCTATCTTCAGGTACTATCCCATCTCGCAAAAAGGAGACAATTGAATCAGTCCAGCTCGGCGTGTCTGGGTTTGTGCTAATCTCCATCACCCGAGGCTTCATAAAGCTTGGTTCATCTAAGATCTCTACAAAAACGGATCTGGAACTTAAAGAGCTATCAGAGGCAAACTTGGAGAGTGAATCTGCCTGTTCATTCTCAGCTCGGGGGATTTTACTCAGACAGAATTTCTGGAATTTGCACTTCAGCTCGGCCACCAAGGCTACATACTTCACCATCACAGGATCAACAACTTCACAGATAGAGTTGATTTGGTTTACCACCAGCTGGGAATCACTGTACACTTGAATTGCACTGATTTTCAACTCCAGTGCTAGTTGTAAACCAAGTAGTAGAGCTTCATACTCAGCCATGTTATTTGTCGCATCAAAGTTGAACTTCAGGGCATGTTCACTTTGGTATCCCTCTGGACCAATCAAGAGGCGCCAGCCCCTGAACCCTTGCTACTAGATGCTCCATCAACATATAAGGTCCAATCGTTGGGCTCTAGATTAGAGGTTGAAGGACATGGAGTACATTCCACAATAAAATCTGCTAATGCTTGGGCTCAGATGGCCGATCTCTACTGAAACGTTATCTCAAACTCTCCCAATTCTACTGCCCACTTAATTAATCTTCCGGAGCACTCTGGTTTCTACAAAATCTGCCTGAGGGGTTGATCTGTGAGAACAATAATTGGGTGTGACTAGAAATATGGCCTCAACTTCCTGGCCGAAGTGACGACTGCTAATGCTGCTTTCTCAACTATAGGATACCTTAGCTCTGCTCCGTGCAGCACGCTGCTGATGTAATAGATTGGTTTCTGCTACTTGGCTTCTTCTCTCACCAGAACTGAACTAATCGCTTCATCTGAAATCCCCAGATACAAATAAAGAATTTCCCCATCGATGGCCTTAGTCAGTAGAGGTGGCGAGCTAAGATAAGACTTCAGCTTGTCGAATGCAGTCTGGCACTCCTGACTCCATTCAAATTTCTTCTGTTTTCCTGATTCATCCTTCTGGGCGGCCGACCTCATAATCTTGAAGAATGGCAGGCACTTATCTACTGACTTCGATATGAATCGATGAAGAGCTGCCACTCTTCCAGTCAACCTCTGTATATCTTTTACTGATTTCGGTGGTTCCATCTCAGCAATTGCTCTGATTTTTTCTGGATTAACCTCAATCCCTCTTCGGGACACCATGAAACCCAGAAACTTTCCAAACTCCACACCTAAAATACATTTGGCTGGGTTCAACCGCATCCTGTTCTTTCTGAGGTTGTTGAAGGTTTCATCAAGATCGGCTAGATGGTCTTCTGCTTTCCGGCTCTTTACTACGATGTCATTGACATACACCTCCAGATTCTTACCGATCTGAGCTCAGAAGACGATGGTCACCATTTTCTGATAAGTAGCACCAGCGTTCTTTAAACCAAACGGCATCATGACATAGCAATAAATTTCATCGCCAGCATAGAACGAGGTTTTCTCTTCATCTTCAGGAGCCATCGGCACCTAGTGATACCCAGAATATGCATCCAAGAGGCTTAACCTCTCATTGCCTGAAGCCGCTTCAACTAATCTGTCAATGCTCGGCATCGGATAACAATCCTTAGGGCAGGCGTGGTTAAGATTTGTGTAATCGATACACATTCGCCATTTACCGTTTGCCTTCTTCACTAGGACTGGGTTAGCCACCCATTCGCAATAATCAACTTTCCTGACGAAACCAGCTTGTAGAAGTTTCTCTACCTCCCCGAAGAGACATCGCTTCTGGGCCACTGGTTTTCTTCAATGGGTTGGTGCTGAGCTTATGTTGAGACACTGATTTTGGAATTCCTGGCATATCTGCCGAAGTCCATGCGAATACATCATTGTTAGCTCGGAGAAAAGCTATCAGCTCTGCTCTCTCTTTCGGGTTCAATCTAGTTCCGATTTGCATCTTTCGGCTCGGATCTCTGTCATCAATGAGCACTTCTTCAACATCTTTGATCGGAGCAGCTCTGGTTTCATCGTCCGGTCGATTATCGACGATCTCTACACCCATAACTTGTTGATTATCAGGAATTGGCTAGGGAATGGCCTCGGGTGTCTGATCTTTGCCCTTCGTTGGTTGTGTTACTAAGGTGATATAACAATGTCTGGCCACCTCCTGGTTTCCTCACAGTGTTGCTATTCCCATAGGAGTTGGGAACTTCATACAGAGGTGAGACTGGGAAACCACAGCTCGGATTTCAATCAGTGTGGGTCGGCCAATAACAATGTTGAAAAAGGACACCATTTTGACTACGAGGAACCGGACTGAAGGGGTTACATAGGTTCGGCCACTCCCAAAAGCCACATGGAGGGTAAGAACTCCTTCCACCGGAACAGGTTGGTTGTTGAAGCCATAAATAGGACCATCATATTTCTGCAACAACGCTGGATCCAGCCCAAGACTCTCGAAACAATGGAAGTACATGATATTTGGTGCACTTCCGGTATCAACAAGGACACGCTGTACTTCACAGTTGTTAATTATGACAGAAGTGACCAAGGGATCATTGTGGGGTGTAACAACTGTATCAAGATCAGCAGATGTGAAAGTAATGGGTTGAGTTTTCCACTCAGCATCGTCAATCTTCCGCTTTTGAGCTCGGTTCTAATGCTTAACCTCTCTGACATACAGCTTTCGCTGTTTAGAGCTCAGCCCACCTGCTTCAAGGCCTCCCGTAATCATGTGTATGATTCTAGCTAGTGGTGGGAGCGGAGGTGTGGCTTGCTGATATCCCACACCTTGTCTATTTAGGGGATTGCGGACTCCTTGAGGCTGCGACCTCTGCTCTCTGACAAACCTCAGTTGTTCAGCTCTCTGAACATACTCATTCACATTCCTTTCTGAGCTAAACTTTCCAGTTCGGACCTTAAACTGTTACACTGCTCTGTAGTATGGCCGTGATCCTTGTGAAAATCACAATATCTGGTATGGTCTCGACTAGCAGCAGCAGTTCGCATTGGGCCAAGACGTCTCAAGTCCATTTTGTTCTTAATCTGCATAAAAATCTGTGACCTCGACAGATTAAAGGGAGTCTAATTAACTGGAGGTTTACCTGTAGATTGTTGCGGGGGTGTTGAGTTCGGCCTTCTGACTCTCATTGGGGAGGTCAACATCGGACCTCTGTTCTGCGCCATCCTCATCCTTTTCCTGCTTGGATTGTCATCTCTCCAATCTGGGTTCTGGTTTAGAGGAAGGTGGGTTTTGCGCTAGGGCATATTCCTCAGCAGTTATAAATTTGAGAAACCTATCATTCACCTCGCTAAAGGTGGTGGCAACATGTTTGATCAAACTATCTCTGAACCTGTCATGCTTGAGACCGGAGATCACAGCTGCAATTCCCACAGCTTGATCAAAGGAACTAACCTCTAAAACTACATCATTGAACCTACTCATATAGTTCTTCAGAGATTCTCCATCCCTCTGTTTAACTCGCATCAGCTCAGAAGTAGTTTTCCTAATCAACCTTCTACTGGAAAACTTAGTGGCAAAGGCAGATGCCATGTCTGTATAAGAGCTAATTAACCTCGGAGGTAAACTGTAATACCAAGTTCGGGCATTACCTCGGAGAGTAGAGGGGAAGATCTTGCACATCAATGCGTCAGAGGCGTTTTGAGCTTGCATGCAAGAGTATAAAGCATGCAAATGATCATCGGGATCCTTCGTCCCGTCATAAGTCTCCAGTTGTGGTATTTTGAAGCCAACAGGATAGGTTTCCAATGTAATGTTGGTATTCAGAGGGTGAGGTATAGAATCAACAGCATGGTGTGGTGGTGGAGCACCTCGGTGTTCAGCTACTAGCTTTTCCAAGCTATCGAGGCGGCGAGTAACATCATCAGGGATGGGTTGTTGAGCAGGTGTTATGTGGGATTGACCCTGAGATTCGCTAATAGCAAGAGCAGGTGGAACCGGTTGAGGATTCTGTTGTGGAGCTGGGGGTTGTTGAGTAGGGTTCAGTAAATTAATGAGGGGGTCACCAGGATTGTTTCTGGCTAAAAGCTAAGCCAGTACTAACTGAAAAACACCGAATTGTTGCTGCATGGCAGCAAGCTGAGCTGTCACTACGTCTTGGTTGGCAGTGGAAGTTGAATTGTGAGCTGAGGCATGAGGTTGGTTTTCATCTCCTCCTTCTACCTGATCAACAGGAGGGAACACAATTGGGACCTAAGGTGGAAGCTGAGGTGTAAGATGAGGTGGGAATTGAGGTGGGATCAGAGGTGGAAGGTTGTTGGAGGGTTGACCTTGCCCAAGAGGCAGAAATGAGTTACCAGCTCGGACTGATCGAGTGTAAACCATGATGGAAGAGCAACTAGAAAGCTTTCAGTTCGATTCCCACAGACGGCGCCAATGTAATTGCACCAGACCAGAAGTCCTTCTTCAGTCCGCACTTGCACTCCAGGAAGACCTGCAAAGCCTCAAGGTGGAACTCGGGGTAGACACTCCGATGCTTAAGTCAGCAATAATCGAGGCTACCTTTAAAGCGGAGATAAAAAGAGCTTAAGGTTGGCTTCAATTACCTTTCTGAGGTGGCCCCTGGGGGTATTTATAGGCCTTTGTGAGGTATCCACGTGGCTTGCTTAGCAGGATAATCGGAGCCTGACGTGTCTATCCAGACGATTATTTCAGGACCGGGAATTTGAGAGGTATTCAGATGCACGGATGTCCACCATACTTGTTGTGCCACTTGTCATAAGGAATCAAGTGCGGGCATGCTTATTGTCATTGTCATGCAGCTATTTAAGCAGGAAGCTTTGGATTCATTTCTCACTTCGGTCATAAAGGAATTACTGTAGCAGTCCGAGGCTTGGCACCTCGGACCTGTCCTTACAGAAAAGAGATCAAGTAAAATGTATTTATAAAATAGATAAAAATCCTACAAAAATTACATCAATTATCATTATTTAACTTAAAACTTCTACTCAGCAGAATATCTTCGAAGATTTAAATATTTACAAAATTACCATTAAATTAAACTATTTTAAGAAAAACGAACATATTCGAGAGAGAAAGAAAGAGGGTAGACTCCGCCCTCCGAATTACTTTTTAGGTATGTATACCAATTTATATAATGACAAAGGGTCTAATAACTTTTCCCATAAAAGAAAAAGGGTTTTATACTTTTATACATTTAAGATCAATAATGGTTTGGGCTTGGTTTCGAGAGTACTGCATATAACTGCTGTGGTAGGTTTTTTAGCTTTTATAATTTTTTTAAAATATGTAAAATAACTTTAATATATTTAATAGTTAAAAATAAAAGAAAATTAAAATTTTTTATTAATTAAAATATTAAAAATGATAATAAAAAATTTTAAATATTTTTAATAAATTAATATATAAAAAATTATTAAAAATATTTAAATAAATTTATAAGTAGTTTTGATATTTTAAACATTTGAATGTCTTATTTTTATTTTTTTATAATATTTATTTTAACTAATATTGTAATATCTCAAAATTTTCTAAGACCATAAAATTTAAATTAGAGATTTATATGAAAGAAATTATTGTTGTGAGGTCAAATAACTAAAATTTTCAAACCTAAGGAGGGGTTAGAAAAGAGAAATATGGTGATTAAAAGGAGCTAAGGTCGGGTTTTCTTTTTCTCCTTGCCTTTTCGTGTTTCCCTAACTCTTCACCAGAAATTTTGCCTCCATGTTCCTTACTTGCGCCCAGCCTTTCTTTACCACGAATAAGATCTAGACTACTGTATCCTCCAAATTGCTAATCTGTTTTTAGTTGCTGTCCATAGTAAAAAATCACCAATTTCCAACACTATTCAGTTTTAAAACACCTCAACAACTTTGAGACCTTGAAATTCTTGTTTAATGTATATTGACAAGGTAAGGTAAGTAAAACTGTGATAAATACCATTGTATTTTAAGGTAAAAGTCTTAAAAACATATTTTAAAATATTTTTTTGAAGTGGTGGTAACACTAAACCAATTTTATAAAGACAAGCATGATTGGTTGAAATGAAATTCTTATTGTTTTTATTGATTTCAACATGCTTACTTGGAGTTTACTGAACTGTTCTAATAACCTGAAATTAGTTTGTAAATTGTGAATTTTCCTGTAACTCCTCCCTAGTTTAGCCTTCAATATGATCATGTTTTATTGTACTCGCTAGTGGGAAGTTTATCAACGCTAGCACATGTCAACATGTATTTTTAGGAACTGGTTCATCTTGTATTCCTGCCAATGGGATAATACATTGGTTACTACTATGTCCGTCAGTGGGAGGTTTATAAATACTGGCCATGACTTATAGAGGAGAGACTTATAGAGGAGAGACTTCTATTTCATTCATGTACTTGTACCGTTCTTTTTCTTGATATTTTGTTACACTTGTTGGCATGTTATAACTTTAATTATGGGCTATTTATATTTTATTTACTGAGTTATCTCATATAGTTTTCTCCTTGTCCACCATTTCAGGTAATGCAACCCAAGACATGGGAAACCAAAGGGAGTGACAAGTTAGAAGGCTAGTCATTGTATTTTGAACGTAGATTTTGAATTGTAGATTATTTTTTATAAGATGAATTTTATTTTAAAATATTTATCTAAGTTACGTGGATTGTTAGTTATGGATTTATTAAGTTTCGAGCCGTGGATCATCTCACAAGTGTATAATATCTGTTTTGTTCTTGGTTTTAGGGTATGACAAACATTTTATATATATTTTTGAAAAAAGATATAAAAATAAAAAACTAAAACATCAAAGAATTTTTCAAAGCATTAATACCTTTAAGAACCAAAAAATGGTTATTACCTTTATTTTTTTAGAAAAATATTTTATGAATAAGATTATATTTTAGAAATACATTTCATTTTATAAATTTATT